TAAAATAAAATTTCAAAATTATACTCTCTGAACTACGACCTTGAGTATCTCTGGTAAAATTTTTAACTCGATCGAATGAAATTTAACGGGGGATCGTAATGTGACACAATGAAAAACCAAGTTTTCTGGAAAACTGATGAACGGTAATAGTTAGAAACTTGAAACAAAAACGAAAACGTGCTCCATTAAGTTTCCAATCAGTTTTGAAAATATGAAATTTTAGTTTTTATTTGACAACATTTCTACGGAAAGCCCAAAATGAGGGAAGGGATATCCTTAATAAGTTTTTCTTTTGTAAGGGAATTTAGCTGTCAAATTATACATGAGAAGTGAAGAATATCTGAGAAAATTACAGAAATAGCAATTGCTTCATGAAATTTTCTCCAATATTCCTCACTTCTCATATGTAATTCGAACGGACCGCCGATCTTTATTCAGAAATTGTTATCATTCGTAATTACTCCAATCAATATTATACGGTAAACATTTTTTCATTTTTTATGAGTTTCTATAGTACAGACATACAGAAATAATAATAATTTATTATAGTATTAATAATATAAAAAAAGATCACGTTCATATCTTTAGAAAATGAATCAAATAATCACTTTGAGACTAATACTCCACGGTTTTACACCTACTTATGAAAAAAGTAGAATGTTATAATGAAAATACTGATACGTATACATTGACAATTTATTACAAACACAATAGACATCCTATTCTCTTGCTATTATCACATTTTCCGTTAATTAGGTTTTCTGTCAAGAATATATTTCCAATGTAGATTCGAGATATTTATTTTCTGGTATATCTGCGACAGACAATGGCATGTAGACTTCATTCCTTGTCGTAAATGATCCGATAACTTCGTTTCAAGCTGTAAAACTTTAGTTCAAAAATAGATCAACTGAAGTAATCCATTAAATTATACATGTAAATAATCATTTCTTTTAGGAATAAAAGAATATATTATTCTATTATTATTATCAATATTGTCTGATATTATCACATGATTCAAAGAGTAATTTCAACTGTGCGTAGGTTCAAAGACATTTTTCCATCAGTTATGACGTAGTTTAATGATCATATAGTTCGTCATGCACTTTAAAAGTGCTATATTCGAACCTCGACGCCGTCAAGTTGTGTCCTAAACTTGGGCAAGTTACCTAAGTCTGTATATCTTCTGTCTGGTAGTGTACTACGTTGTTCGTCTAGCTCACCATGAAGTTAATGCGTGGTTTATTAACTATGTATGGAAGAGGGAGATCAAGCAATTTGAGCGAAAAAAATCCTGCCTTCGACTAGTTTAGTCCTTGTGTGTGATATCTATTTCATCCATTCTTTACACAAGTTGTTTACAAAAGACAATGAAAATATTTGTTTAAACACAAAACAACTACCTTATGTTTTTCCCTTGTTTAAGTTGACAAAAAAATTCCATTTACAAACACGCACGAAAAAGTCATACAATAGTTTTTGTTGTAAAAAAACAAACAGAAAAAACAACATGTAGAAACATTAAAGCGTCAACAATTTTTTTGAGAGAAAGATGCTGTATTACCGAACAGATACACAAAAACAAAACAAGAAAATAGGAAGGAAAGTGCATTTGATACGAGTACAAACATTGTTGTAGGAAACAATTTATTGCGTTTTATGCTAAAAATTTTAACGTGAACCAGAACGACTTCGTGAACGAGAACTAAAAGAAAAAAACAAATTTATTTTTAGATGTCAAACACAAAGAAATTTTTGGACGATTTCAAATACTTGTAAAAATTAATACATACCGTGAACGACGAGTTCGTTTCTCAGGAGAACCAGAATTCGATCGACGACGCTTTTCATAACCACCACGTGGCGAAGGACGACTAGAACCATTTCGATCTCCTCCTCTATCTCCTCTATCTATAATATTCAAATATAAAATGCAAAAAAGTTACACAAGTGTTAAAGTAAAAGCACGAATTAACTGACCTCTATCTCCTCTATCGCCTCTCTCACGGTCACGATCTTCTCCACCATTGTATCCACGATCACCTTGTCTTGATGAGCGACAATTTCTAGAGATGTGTCCAGTTCTGCCGCAATTGAAACAAGTCAGATCTCTACCACCACCTCCTCCTCCACCACCCTAAAATAAACAGAAAGGAATGAATAAGAAACTTTGTTTTGACAACATCTGTGCTAAGGCGTACTTACACGACGAAAATTATTTGAACCCGTTGGTGGTCCTATAAATGAAGATAAAGTACAGAAAAACGGTCGATTTTTTCATTTGTTTTAGTGTACCTCTTCGAGAACTGCGTGCCCATTCGACAATAATTGCTTTTCCTTGATGATCTCGACCATTTTCACCTTTTATCGCTGCCTAAATAATAACTTAGAAGGTTAACAATGAGATATAATAATAAAAAATAAACAACAAAACATTGAACTAGAAGAACAATACGTACCTGTTTTTATGAACTGAAGAAACATAAGCAGCATAGTGCGCACTCACAAACACAAGATGAAAGTATATAACCCAAAGTGTACGTGTGATGGTTATGTGTACGACGATAACAATGTCGGAGTATTGTATATGACTGAGATATGTATGGACACTCTTGTAAATGTATGTTATGCTCGGCTAGCAACAAAGACATTTTCATCATTATGCACATTTGACGTGTGCGCGTGGCTCTCTATTATGCTTGCTGCGCTCAAACTTATGATTTGTTGTGTGTGTGTATTCATTCTTATTTATTTTTCTCTCTTTTAAGGCAGCAAGGGCGACACAAAAATCAAAATGACCTTGACACATAAGTCCTAAAAAGGTCAGAGAATAAGTGAGATTCTATAAAACAAAATATGGCGACGAACACTTCTTGAATAACGTTTAAAAAATTATAAAATACTACTCACTTCAGCATCATCTGATGCTTCAAATTCTAGAAAACCATAACTCGACGCAAAACCTAAAAGATAATGATAAATTAAGTTGATTTCAATGACAGAGATCATAGCGAGGTAATCTGATCAGATCGAATTGATCAACCGAATTTCGATCCAGTTTACCTAAGATAAGTCACAACACACTTACTTGATGCTCCTTGTTTCAATTCACAACGAATCAAACGTCCATAATGTTCAAAAATATCTTCAAGATCTCTTTTTGAAACATCTCTATTTAAATTTCCAACAAATATTTCAGATGAAGGCATTTTCTAATTGATTTACAAAAATTATTTGTATAACGATGAGATAACACAAATGGTTTGACTCAAAATATGAAAAAGCAAAAAAGACAGACTTTTATTTATTTTATATATTTGTTTGTTCTTTTGCAGGCAGCCATTTTTAGAACAAGGCTTAATGACTTCACGTTTGAAATCTTCTGTTAATAACTTTGCTTAAATAAGATATGATATGATTAACTAAACGTGTTAGTAAAATGATGCTTCAACCTTTCAATATTTCCAAGAGGCCAATACTAGATGTCGTAGTTAACACGATTAACAGAGAATGCACTACTACGACGGATTCATTCGTTCAAAAGAAGAGAACAAATCTACTTTCGAAAGTAGTTTTCACAGAATTTGTTAGATTCTAAGGAAAACCCAGTGTAGGACAAACTTATCCACATCACGGAACAAAGGGTATTTATAAAACATACGAACACTTGAACATAAATAAACACTCTTGAATTAAGATCTGATACAACCAATAGACAGAGTCCATTGAGTTGATTATACCAACCTCGAATAATACTCAGCTGGATATTCAGTAATGGCTACTAATATTCACCAGCACACACAAAATATTTACGAGTTACACTCTCTTTGAGTTAGAATAAGCCATTGCCAGACTTCTCTAATTGCGCACAATTGATTAACATCATATTCAAGGTTTCAGAAATCAGAAGTATTTCAGAAGTATTTGAAATACAAATATTTTAATAAATTGTAGTGGAAAATACAGATCGTTAGATTAAATTGATGCTATCTCATATTTATGTTACGAAAAGTGTTAAAAACTAGATTTTATAGCGAAAAATTCGTCATGCAATTTCACAAGGAAACAACTTCACCTTACACATTTTTATCATAGATACTGAACAATGTGTAGTACTAAGTCATATAAACGATAGATCTATCCCTGCTTTCGTTCTTATACACAGTAAGAGTCCCAAATCGAGTTCATATCATCTAATTGATCAAAGTCGTACGTCATATCACAGTGATTCCATCGATCACATGACTCACTAATTGATGCAATGTCAAATTGCTAATTATTTTTATTTTTTCATCAAATATACTATGAAACATTGTATTATGAATCTATTTGCTTGGAAAATTAGGACCTTGTGTACCTAGTACACTACACTAGTATTGATTAAAGAATATTTTTATTTTATAAATTATATATACTTTTTTGAAAATCGTCCAAAAAAAATATTTTTTACATGTTTTTCTTAATGTTTATCGAAGTACGAACTATCTATAATTTACCTGGAGTACCTTTACTGTAATCTATAAAATATCATAATATATATTTATATTTGAATTTATATCGCCGTTGAAAAAATCAAGGAAATTAGGTTTTATTTATAGAAGAAATTTTTTATTTTTCATTTTTTTATTTTCTTTATTTATCTCTTCAACTAAGAGAACTGATTAAAATCTGAATGAAATTAAAATGTTTTATCGCGCGCATAAGAAAGTAAAGAACGAAAGAAAATCGTTCACGCCTAGTGCTGTTGACGCTATATGTGATTCGAAGGTGATATTTACGTGAAAATGAGTAATACCTCGTTTAGTGGTATTATTGGGAATCTTTTAGAATTTCAAGAATTTCAATTAGTGATATTTATGGGGAGGAGCGGAAGTAGAGACTACAATTATCCTCGCCGATTAAATCTTTGGCACTTCTACACAATGTGCATGTCCTCTACTGTAGGTGTATGTGTGAAAGTGAGAGTTCGAATGGGATCAATTTATAGAAGTATTAAATCTTTTAAAATTAAAGCTACAAGTTATGTATCACTATAGGTTTCATAGAAAATTATTCATTTCTTTTTTAGATCGAATAGTATCATGTCGACTAAAGCGATTTATGAAACAGGTACGATAGTATTATGTTTAAATGGCGTTCTTTTATCCAGAATGTTTTCTCTTTTTGTATGTAGCTGGAAAAGCTTTACTAACCAAGTATCTTGGTAACACCGTTGCTGAATGTCGTTGCGTCGACGTAGGTTTCAACACCAATTGGAATGATTTAGTAAACAATAATGGATGGTTACAAAACGAAGTACGTTGTACACAAAAGTTTCAGCTACAACTATTCCCTTTTTTCTCTCCATAATAGCGTTTGGTTGTTAAACCGGATCAACTAATTAAACGTCGTGGTAAACTTGGTCTAATTAAAGTTAATGTCGATTTACAAGGTGCAAAAGAACATATCACAAACAATATAGGCAAAGAAATTACCGTAAGTTGTTGTGATCAAAAGTTGATGTATATCTATGTATCTATTTTATTATAGATTGGGCGAACAGTTGGAAAATTAAAACGTTTTATTATCGAACCATATCTTCCTCATGATGAAAATACAGATGAAATGTATATATGCATTTATTCTGATCGTGCCGGTGAAGTGATATTGTTTCATCATCAGGGTGGCGTTGATATCGGCAATGTTGATGAAAAAGCATTGAAATATAGTGTACCAATCGATGAAACGTTTAATGTAACAGTAATGGAAACGACTTTATTAAAAAATGTACCAGAAAAAAAACAGAAGTACGAGTTTACTCTAAACTCATGAGAAGAGTAGATAGAAAGAGAAGAAAAATCTTTTAAATGTCATTGTTAACAAATGGAATCTTATTAACCGATATGCTAAAAATATTGCCCTAATTTAGTCTTATTCCTTATTTGTCTTATTATACACATTACTGTCTTTCACAAATGAATTTCATTTTCTTTCAGGCATTTATCAACGTTTATAACAAAATTATTTGAAATTTATATGGAATTGCATTTCACATATTTAGAAATAAATCCATTAGTTGTAACTGCAGATAATATTTATATATTAGATTTAGCTAGTCGTCTTGATCAAACGGCAGATTATTTATGTGCATCAAAATGGGGAAAAATTGAATTTCCACCACCGTTTGGAAGAGATGCATATGCTGAAGTACGTATAAACTAGATCTGTCTTAGAACATTTTCTAATTTTATGTTTGGCTTTTTTAAGGAAGCATACATAGCTGAATTAGATGCGAAATCAGGTGCATCGTTAAAATTAACGGTTTTAAATCCAAAAGGACGTGTATGGACAATGGTTGCTGGTGGTGGCGCTTCAGTTATCTATAGGTTAGTTGAACATTTTACATTTATTTATCTTATATAAGTCGATTCTCTTCGATCTATCTAGTGATACTATTTGTGATCTTGGTTTTGCTAATGAATTGGCAAATTATGGTGAATATAGTGGAGCCCCGTCGGAACAACAAACATATGAATATGCAAAAACATTATTATCATTAATTGTTAAAGAAAAGCATCCGGATGGTAAAATATTGATTATTGGCGGTGGTATTGCAAATTTTACAAACGTTGCTGCCACATTCAAGGTATTTGATGCTTTTTTTTTAAAGCATCTTTGATATTCGAAAGATAGACTTTGATTTTTTGTCTTTAAAGGGCATTGTTAAAGCATTACAACAGTATCGTGAACAATTAATCGAAACTAAAGTATCAATATTTGTCAGACGTGCTGGACCAAATTATCAAGAAGGCTTACGTATCATGCGTGAAGTTGGAGCATCTTTAGGAGTCATCATACATGTATTTGGTCCTGAAACCCATATGACTGCTATTGTTGGCATGGCTTTAGGTAATAATTCTTAGTTTAGCAACAAAATTGATCAATAAGATCTTTTTAGGTAAACATCCGATTAAACCTCCCGAACAACCAGAATTGACAACTGCAAATTTTTTGTTACCAACAAGTGTCAATGTACGTTTATATTAACTATCAGTTTAGGTCTATTTGGAAATAGTATTTTCGTTCATGTTCCCTAATCTCTCAGATACACAGGCTCTATTTTATTTAAATTCTAGAAATCTAGCATACCTGAGCGAACTAAAAGTCAGCCATCGCAGTCTGTAGTAGGTGTTATTTTCTCTCAGTTTCTATATTTCTATGCTTTAATGCGTCGCTTTTATTTTGGAAACGTATAATTATAGTTGCTTATGTTTTTTTTTGATGTGCTAATTGTTTTGTTTATATGTTGTAACGCTTTTTCAGCGTAGTGCAAATACGGGACCACGTAAACAACGTCTGGATTCTATAAGTTTTGAACGACAATCATCGACGGTACGCGTCATTTAGAATTTTGCTTATGCTTTTATAATAGTTTTGTTTTTCCAACATGAATCTAGTTGTTGTTGTTTTTTTTGTTAGAGTGTATCCGATGAATCGCAAGGTGGTAGTCCTGGTTTGACTCAAAGCGGTGAATCGAAGTCGTATGTTGAACGTCCATTGTTTACTGCGATGACAAAGGCCATTGTATGGGGTATGCAAACTAAAGCAGTGCAGGGAATGCTGGATTTTGATCACGTATGCAGGCGATCACTTCCATCTGTTGTGGCTATGATATATCCATTTACGTATGTATTGGAAACAATGTTTTCTATCTATCTACTCGTTTGTTTGTTTATTTGATTAGCGGTGATCATAAACAAAAGTTCTATTGGGGCCACGATGAAATTTTAATACCATGCTATAAAAATATGGCTGATTGTATGAAACGACACTCAGAAGCTGATGTACTCATCAATTTTGCATCATTACGTTCAGCATATGAGAGTACAATTGAAACATTGAACTATCCACAAGTAAATAAGAAGCACAGTACAGTACAAAGATATTCTCACAATCAAAACATGTTGTTCATTTTAGATTCGAACAATCGCTATTATTGCTGAAGGAATACCGGAACAATTGACACGTCGAATGATTCGTATGGCAAATAAAAAAAATGTCTTTTTAATTGGTCCAGCTACGGTGGGTCTTTCTCTATAAAATCCATTACTTTGAGATCAACTTGTTATATCTATTATGAATATAGGTTGGTGGTTTGAAAGCTGGATGTTTTAAAATTGGACATACTGGCGGTATGTTGGATAATATTTTAATGTCCAAATTATATCGACCTGGAAGGTAGTAAATCTTGTTTGTTATTAATATATATTAAATGTCTTTTTTTTTTAGTGTTGCTTATGTATCACGTTCCGGTGGTATGTCTAATGAATTGAACAATGTTATAAGTCGAAATTCTGACGGAGTTTACGAAGGCATTGCTATTGGGGGAGATCGGTTAGTATTTTTCTCTCTCACAATACATAAAAGCAGTATTTCAATCTATTAATCTTTTACTCTTTCAAGTTATCCTGGTACAACGTTTGTTGATCACATATTCCGTTATCAAGATGATCCAGATGCCAAAGTTATTGTTTTATTAGGAGAAGTAGGCTTTAAACGGCATTACCTCATTCGAATGAGTTTGTTATTAACTGTGTGTTTAAGGTTGGTGGTATAGAAGAGTATCATATTTGTGATGCTATCAAATCAAAACGTATTACAAAACCATTAATTGCTTGGTGTATTGGAACATGTGCATCAATGTTTACATCCGAAGTACAATTTGGTCATGCTGGTTCGCATGCGTCGAATGATCGTGAAACTGCTCTGGCTAAAAATAAAGCATTAAAAGAGGCTGGTGCATTTGTGCCAAATTCATTCGATGAACTTGGTGATTTTATTCAGTGAGTCATTGTTTTTGTATCTTGTTAAAGTCAGGTTTAAATATCTATATGAACTTCTTCTAGTATGGTATTCGATGATCTTGTTCAGTCACAATGTGTTACACCAAAACCTGACTTACTTCCACCGTCTGTGCCTATGGATTTTGACTGGGCTCGTGTATGTTGTAGATTATTAGTATAGATGTTGATTTTATTGTTTTGTCTTTGTCAGGAATTGGGTCTAATAAGAAAACCAGCCAGTTTTATGTCAAGTATATGTGACGATCGTGGGCAAGAATTGCTTTATGCTGGAATGCCCATTACAGATGTAATCAAAGAAGATATGGTAAGAGAATAATTTATTGTTTTTTTTGGAACATTCTTTAATTATCTGAACGACGACTATATGTTTTCTAGGGTATTGGTGGTGTCTTGAGTTTGTTGTGGTTTCGAAAAAGGTATGTTTATTTCTTAAGAAATGTTTCATTTTTTCACATTTATGTATTCTTTTTTCATTATCATTAAGATTACCTAAATATGCTACAAAATTTTTGGAAATGATTTTGATGGTGACAGCTGACCATGGCCCGGCTGTTAGTGGATCACATAATACAATCGTTTGTGCTCGTGCTGGAAAAGATCTTGTCTCATGTTTAGCTTCTGGTCTCCTAACAATTGTACGTTACAAATTTAATGTTCAGAACTAGAATTTTTCAAAGAATCTTTCATTTGTAGGGCGATAGATTTGGTGGTGCATTAGACAATGCAGCTAAACAATTTAGTGAAGCTTATGATGCCGGCCTACATCCAGCTGATTTTGTTAATAAAATGCGTAAGCAAGGTGAACTGATTATGGGTATCGGACATCGTGTTAAATCAGTATGTATTTATCGTAGAGAATGAATTGATTGATATGATATTCTAATCTCTTGACTTTTAGCTAAATAATCCTGATATGCGCGTTGTGCTTTTGAAAGAATTTGCTAAGCAACAATTTACAACAACTCCATTACTTGACTATGCATTAGAAGTGGAAAAAATTACAGCTAGTAAAGTAAGAATAGTTCATAAACTTTTTCAACAATTTACATTTGGATATAATTAATATTTTGAAGAAACCAAATCTCATTTTGAATGTTGATGGTGTCATCGGTGTGGCAATGGTTGATTTATTACGTCATTGTGGATGTTTTACATTGGAAGAAGCAACAGAATTTATCGAAAATGGTGCATTGAATGGTTTATTTGTTCTTGGCAGAAGTATTGGCTTCATTGGTATGTTATATTAAACTATCTTTAGCGTAAAATATATAACGAGCGGATTCACGAGGAAACATTTCCAACTCTCAAATTGCTTTCGAGCCGAAGCCTAGTGGACTGTAGGTAGTCGACCATGCTGATTCTGAATATCAACATGAGACCGGCTAATAGGCCTCCAGAGACCGCTTTTCTGGAAAACCAGTTTTTCAGAAACTATAAAAGTAACAAAACCTTTCTTAATGAGGCATAAATGTAGCGTGCACATTTTTGATTAAAATAAGACATCTCCCAGTTCTACGCGACCTTTCTTTGCAAAGTTAGAGCATTTACAAGAAAAGTCCTAAATGTTCATTGTTAGCTCAAAGCTACAGAAATAAGAAATTAATTTAGTGCTTTTCTTGTAAATGCTGTAAATTTGCAAAGAAAGGTCGCGTAGAGCTGGGAGATGTCTCATTTTAATCAGAAATGTGCGTGCTACAATCACGGCTCATTAAGAAAGGTTTTGGTTACTTTTTAGAGTTTTTGAAAAACTGATTTCCAGAAAACTAGTCTCTGGTGGCCTATCGGCCCGTCTCCTGTTGATATTCGGAATCAGCATGGTCGACTACCTATAGTCCACTAGACTTTGGCTCGAAAGCGATTTGACAGTTGGGAACGTTTTCTCGTCAGTTCCAGAGTCTTTAGATTTTAATCGTTGTTGTATAAGTGTATTTGGAGTTTCTAATTAAGTATTCATACATACACATGATATATTTTATTTTCCTAGGTCATTTTCTCGATCAGAAACGTTTACGTCAAGGACTTTATCGTCATCCATGGGATGATATTGCCTATATTCTACCAGAAGCATTATAAAAACTTAATAAAAATCAAAAATAATGTATTTTATGTGAGTGCTTATATTGTACGATTTTTATGCATTCCCTTTTCTTATGGTATTTTATGTTATGTGTGTATGTAGTGTATTTTTATTTGTTCTTTAGTCTACATGAAATATATTGCTACTGATGAGACAGAATTCCTTAGAAAGTATTTATATTCACAAACATAGCTAAACCCAAATTTTATATTTAGTAGAAGATAAAGTAGTAAAATGTGTTTTTTTCTGCTTATCTTTGTGTAAAAGAACAGTAAATTTTTTTTTTGTCATCTCATGTACATTAAAGACGATGTGATGTGACTAAAACTTTTCGATAAAGAACCGGTTTTATATATCTCATATTTTAATGTGTAATATGTATTTTAAAATGAACCTCCATTTTACATTTCTCCTGGTTCTTGCATTTATAAAACAAAACATATCATAGATATTGTAATGTTCGTATTTTCTTTTTATTGTTCTCTGTTCATTTTTCTTACCTTTATTTTTTGCCTTCAGTTAGCTGTATATCATCATATCTAAGAAATGTTTATAAATTAACCATAGAAGTTATACGATAGCTTTTGAGACTAAAACAAGTATAAGCAATTATTTTCAATGGCATAAATTTGAATTATCAAGTCTTATTTGTTAAGATAATTTGCTCATTTTGATAAAAATATCTTTGAATTTTGAATTTCAAAATTGAAACACTTTTGTAATATTATATAAAAAATGTCATCGTCTATTTGTCAAGAATATTATCATAATCTCGATTCATCCATGATTACTCGCCTCACTTTTAATGTCATATTGTTTAATCTTACAAACGCAATAAGGAACGAACCAAAAGAGTTTCGAGAGAATGGTGTAGTATCATCAAAAACTACGCCTACTTTTGTAAACAATCACACATGTATCGAACGAAATACGCACGATATTTTAATAAACGTCTAAAGCAAGATTCTTTTAGTAATAAATGTGCAAAATTTTTCATTTTCTGTTATTTTTTCAATTTTTAAACGTCTTGTTGACTATTGATATTAACTGAAATCTGAGAAAATCTCAAATTTTCTTTATATTTCTAGAAGAGGAGATAATCATAAATATAATCTTTTTTCGAAGTCTTGTTAGTAATTATTACAAATCTTACTCTATCTTGTATGATTAAACAGTCATATACATGATAGTATTTGTATGATAATTTCGATTAATGAATGATACTCCTTCTAGTGATAACCAAACATTTTTACAGATAAGTTTGAGTTGAATATTGCTATTAGCAAATTGAATAATAAAGTCTCTTGTTTTGATCATGTTAAATTAGTTCTTTCTATTTAGACGTTTTATCAGTTAACATTAACAATCAACAAGACGTTATCAAATTGAAAACATAATAAAAAATGAAAAATCATGCACGTTCATTACTAAAAGAGTCTTATTTTAGACGTTTTTTAATATGCCTTGTACTGTACATTGACATGTATATTCAGAATTCTTCTCTCTTCAATTTTTTTTCATTTTCTATGCTATTTTTTCAATTTGTAAACACATTATTTGCCTGATGATATTAACGAATAAAATATCTGAACAGAAATGATTATTTTATCATAGGAAAAAAAGGGAACTTGTAGTTTTCCTGATGGCAACATATTTTGTTTATCCATGATTTGTGGGAATATATATGTTTCATGAACAGGACAACGCTTCAATTATCACAAAACTGTCAAGTCACACTGAAAATTGCATCACTGAGTAAATCATTTTCTTTTTATTCAGAAATTTCTAAACTATCATCAATTTCGCTAGCAGCCAATCACACTAAAAAGTGTAAATTATTCATAAAGAGTCGATACTAAGTTTTGACCTTCTCTGTAATTAATTGACGTTATGTATATGAAATACATATAATAAAATTTAGCTGTTTTTTACAAAAGATTTGTCGTTTAATTCTCTACAAAATGGTATATAGGAGATGAAACTGAGATTTGAGATTCCATCTTGATTAAACAGAAATCGAAATACGTCTTTTTACTGTTTACTATGTACGAAGTTGATAATATTTAGGTTGTTCTAATCTTTGTTTGTTCTATAACATTTATTTTTATTGTCAACTACTGATGAAGATTTTTATTAAACCCCTGTCCACCTTAGAAGCCCGGTGGGCTTCTATTATGAGGTGGGCTTCTAATGTGAGGGGGGAGGTTTAATCGAAACATTTAGTTAAGCAATATAAATAAACTATGAAGTAAAAAGGAAGAAATAAAAGAATTATTAAAGAAATCGAAATGCCCTAAAACTTTCAAACAATAAAAAATTTTCTGACAACGATTTTGAACTGAGACTACTAAAAACACGGAAATAACGATAGAAAATTCGCGTTATAGCCATTCGATAGAGAATTGCAAGGGCTACATTTTGGCCTATTCGATGTGAGTACAACGCATACATTCAAGCGTATACATTCAAGCGTTTTCCGAGTTAAATTTTTGAATGTTTTGGAGCATTTTGATTTCTGTTGAATTGAGACAGAATCTCAAATGTCAGAATCATCTCCTATATACCAATTTTTAGAGAATTAAATAGTGAATCTTTTGCAGAAAAAAAACAGCTGAATTTTATTATATGTATTTCATATAGATAACGCCAATTTATAGAAAGGGTCAAAGCTTAATACTCACCCTTTATATTCTATATTTAAGAGCCATTTAAGCCATAAGAGCCAGTTTCCGCTAAAATTTGAGTGAACAATGGTATAGAAGCAATACATTATAATGCTATGATTCCATCAGATATAATCGTGTAATAAATCAACAGTTCATCCTCTTAAGATACGAACAAAAGAGGAATGTTTTGGTGTTATATAACAAATTTATTGTAATAAAACAGAATTCATTCAAGCATTTTTCTCATAAAAAAATATCTTGCGTAAAATAAATTAAAAAAACCTATTAAGAAACCGGTAAGTAAATTCAAATTTAATAAGAATAGAAAAAAAGCGATCAAAGTTCCAGTTTGTCTTCCACTTTCGTCTCTACTATTTCAATTGGATTTTGAATATCACCTTTTCCAGTGTCAATTTCTTTTGTTGCTCTTAGTTCTTGTTCATAACGAATAAGTTGAAGAAGAAAACCATGATTCGGTGATGCTTGTCGACGCTTATCTAGTAGAAAATCGTATGCTTTGAATAATGTGTCATGGTGATATTTCATTAAATAGGCAAGAACAATGGTCGATGATCGAGATATTCCCATCTGACAATGAACCTAAACAAAGAGTAAAAGTTTAACTTATGTATGACAAAGTTAAAATATTTACTTACAAGAACTTTTTCATTTTTTTCTTTACATGTTTTTAAAAACTGATTTGTTTTATCAAAATGTTGTTTAATGTCAACTTCCATTGAATCATCCAAATTAATATGCAATACCTAAAAAAATAAGAAAAAAAAATTCGACAAAAGAACTGTACAATTACGAGGAAACTATTTATTACATTAAACGCACTCATTATCTTTTTATCCAATGGAAAATCACATATATTGATAATATGACGAATATCTAACTGTTTTAATAGTTGTAGATTTGATGCATGTCCCAAATCACCATGAAATAAAAAATTATCAATAACAATTGACGGATTTTTATTAAAATAAGGTGAATCACGTCTTTTTGAACGTAATTTAGTTAATTCTTCAATATATTCAATTTCTTGATCAGTTGCATTATAATTATCTATTAAGTATCCGTACATCGAATTAGAACTGCGCGACTGACGATCAGTTGATACTGCTGATGGACGACGGAATACTATATAAAACAAAATACACTTAATAATAATGACTATTATGTTTTTTATCATTATGTAAAGGTCTGCAAAACTGAAAGATAAAAGCAAAGGTAATATCAAAACTAAATTCCTCATACGTTTGCACATGTTTTTTTCTTTTCTAACATAATTTCTGTTTTACAGTAAATATGTTATTTTTAACAAGCGAAAACGTATATACTAATTGAATTAAGAACAATTGTCATTTGTTTTGCTAAAAATAGCAATCTGTTACACCTTTTTTCGTTATTAATATGTCTCATATTAGAATAGTTGTCTTTCCAAATAATATTAGTTAAAAAAAAGAAATTATAGAGCTGGACACGATACTTGCTCCTGTCAATGAAATTCTTCATTCTAATTTTTTTCGTTGATGGAGAACTCATTAATTGTAGAACCAATTATTGTTTATTTGCTTTTACCAATTAACTAAACCAAAGAATTTGTTTATGCATTATGCATATATATCTTAGAAACTGTGGAAAACCCGGAAGGCATATAAATCAAGTATAAAAGCGATTTTCTAACGTTATGTTCATCAACCAATTAATATCATCATTTACAGTAAGAAAAGAAGATTGTAGCTCTTTGAAAAGTTTAGCAGATGAAGAGTGTTGGAACTATCCATAATACCATTTGTAAATAAATCTTATGCCTCTTAGCTTTTTACACCACTTCTTCATGAAAAACAAGTTTTATTTTTGATATCTGAGCATGATGTATGAACTTTAACCTCACAATATTGGGTAAAGCTAGAATGTAAAAAAATTATATATTACTTTGTAAAATGTTACAGGAAAAAGTGACTACTAGTTTAGTTAAATTAAAGAATAGAAGTGTCATAAAAGTACTGTATTTATTTTCAAAAAATATAACTAGTCGTAAAAAAAATTTGCTTCTTGATGCGTTCATAATATTAGATGAAAACTCTCTAAAAATTTTGTTAAATTCTCAAATTCATCACATAAGTGTAAACTTAATTAACATTTCCTCTGTTGTGCTGTGCCCGCTGTCAGTCAGTACTAGCTTAAAATAAAAACGTACATACGTGCCTCAAGTTAACGCTCAACGTAACTAATTTTTTATGAAATCAAATAAAAGTTTTAAATTTGTAAGGTTCAGCTAATTCAAAATTCGAGTGGAATTTTTTCTGATGTTTGATTACACATTTAGATTTGTCTCATCGAGCTGATTCCAAAAAACACCTTCGGAACTTTTAAAAACCTTTTCTTTGAGGAGAAAATCTCAAATTAC